TTTTATTTTTTTTTTTTTTTTTTTTTTTTTTTTTTTTTTTTTTTTTTTTTTTTTTTTTTTTATCAAAATTCAACTAAAATGGCACTGTCGTTAGTTTATTTTACGTTTGCAACAGAGATGTTAACATTAAATTTTCTTGCCCATGCTTGTGCATAAAAATAATATAATGATTAGTTAATTTCTAGGTGTAGGCTGACGAACGACTAATGGGTCTTTGTTATTTATTTATTTTTTCGGTTAATTGAAACATTTGAAGGTTTTGTTGGAGGCTAAGAATGAGTCCATCCACACCAAAAACGTTATTAATCTAGTGAAATCGTATTTATTAACAAAATTTTATTATTATCATCATCATAAAATACAGTTTGTTGACAATAGTTTCAAGTTCTTTTTTATCGATATATCTAGGTTTGATTTCATGTTTCAAAATGCAATTCAGTAAAATATATACTGCTGTAGCGCAAAGCAAGATATACAAGGAAGCGAAGAATAAATTGAAAACTTTCATTGAGTTATTATAATAATTTAGAGAACTAGGAGTAGTTGATTCATAGAAAACAAGGACTTGAAAATCAAAGATTTATTGAACTATTAAGGAAAAACAATAAATTGAGAGGAAATCTTAGTATTATCGAATAAAATTCTATACCCAAGGGTTCAAGCGGACATCAGTTGCTCCTTTGCTAAAAATTGCTTCTAAGTCCATCGTATTATAGTAATAAAAGGTCATTATTAAACTAGCAAATAACATAATTAAATAAACAAAGTACCACAAACCGTCTCTTTCCTTTTGACATTGGACTCCATCATTCTTTCTGAGTTGGAGAAGATTCGCACATAAATCTTGATTGCCTATCTTCATGTGATGCCTCGCAAGGGCGTTAGAAAAACTTTGATACGCATGAGCTGCTCCCTATTTCCCCAATCTCTTCATAACGTTCATCACTCCTTTTGTTGTCCACCATGAAATGTAAAGAGAATTTTTGTTATCAAATGAACTGTCAAATCTCAAATGCCCTTCACAATCAAAATTAAAACATATACTGCACCTTTGATCCTTTCACTGATGCACTTGCTAAGGCTATTAACAACTTCAAGTATGCTTTTAAATATATTAAGAACTCTGTTACTAGTTTTGTACCTTTTCCATTTAAAAAATATTTAAACTTGCTTCGATATTGTCTAATTCCATATTATCTAGAAGAGTGCAATTTTCTTCTTCCATGTTTGCAAAAGGTGTTCTAGAGCATGTGCATTAGGTTTCTCCTTGAACTTGAAAGAATTTCTCACTATAACCAAATTTCTTACCTTTGAGTCCTTCAATTTCTAGAAATTGTTTATAATTACCATCTAAAAAATATCACCAATGCCTTCTCCACATATAAAAGCATCACTTGAGGAATCACCCTTATCAAACTCCTCGTCAAAAATTGATACGCTGTCATAAATGTCATTGCCTAAATCAATGAGATTGGGTAGAGTATTGTAACTGTTATGCCTCGCAACCAAGACTTCCACGTGGAGCCCCAGAGAAAGCCACGTCAAAGCTACGTGGATGAGCCGATAAGGCCGTTGTACTTTTCCATCCGAAATTCTTTTCAAGCACTCTTTTAACTGGCCAAACCTCTGTTCTTCTGAAGTCGTCTCTTTGAGCCAAAGCGTAGCTACCTTTATAGCAGATCCACAAAGTATCAGTAGGAATGATCGATGTAATGTTTGTATTAATAAATGTTAGAAATGTCAGCCAAATTATAGGGCGGATAACCCCTTGTCAATGTATTTTACATATGGCAGAGTGGTGTGAGATTTCATTAATAAGATTAAGTCATGAGGTTTTGATTTAACTGCCACCACGTGGACTAGAACACTATAAATAGAAGCTCTTATTACATTTCAATGGATGAAAAGAGTTATGCAAACTTCATATACACAAAATTACGAGTCTTCTGCTTTATATGCTTGAGTTTTGTAATTCCTTATATTTTTCGGTGGAGTTGTCTACAATTGATCATTTTATTTGTGATCATTCTTTATCACGTTGTTGATGCCCGAACGTTTTCATCTCATGTAATGAAGCATCTCCCACGTTCATTATCATCATGAGTCTCCGACTGTATTTCCATATGTTAGAACCCATACATTCAACCACGAGAATCCCGTGGGAAAAAATGGCCGACGACCTTTGTTTGGGAGGATTTCTTACCTTCAAAGAAAATGAAGTGTTCTTGAAGAAAGAATCACCAAGTACTCCCAAGTAGGATTTTTTCTTTGAGAGCACACTGTAAATTCCTTGAGTAGAAAAATCATAGTGCCAAGGAACCAAATTACTCAGAAACACTGCCATGACTTCCACCAATAAAGAATGAGCACCTTGGAGAGTTAAGGAACACCCTGAAGAAGCGAAACCCTCGCCAGTTGCTCCAGAAACTCGCCATCGATTAGATCAATTGTATAGAAGAGGTGGATCAAGAGGTGGGCCTAGGATAATTGCTAGACTCATAAGGGAAGTAGCAACTATGATCACAGATATGAAAAATATAACCCAACAAAAACCTTGCCATGCAAGAGCTGCTAAAGATCATGCAAGGGCAAGGAGGATACTCAGTCCCTCCTTATGAAGTACAATGAAACTCCTATGATTTTTAGCATTTAATGAAATACATTTGTTTTCGTGAATCAAATAGCTTTCCATAGAGTATTATATAGCTGATGTCAGAGCTTAGGTGGCATTTTCAATGTTTTATGATTTAAATGTATTAAATAGTTGTTCATTATTATTATTATTATTATTATTATTATTATTATTATTATTATTATTTTGGGTGGGAGGCGAACAGTAAAAGAGAACTTGGATTATCATATATCAATAAATTCGTGCATTCGGTTCAGATTTACTTGGAAATATATCTTAAATATTGAGTTACTAAATAGCTTTTCTGGATCCACTTCATGTTAACGAGGCAAAACATCTGTATGAGTTTCATATTATTTTACTTTTAAAAAAATGAGCATTATAATATTTTTTATTAAAATTAAAGTTTGATTTTAAAAATTAAATTTAGGAGAAGAAAATGAAATCCAAATGGATGCAAAATAGCCTCGTAAATTGAAGAGAAATCGTCAGCAAACATTATTTTATGATAATATACTATTATGTTATCTTTTTTTTCTCAATAATAGTATTATGTCAAAAAATGAGACTTTACTACAACAATGTACTAATTTTGAAACATTTTAATTATGAAAACAATACTAAGAGAAGCTTCCATCATGCATCATATTGTAAATTGATAATAAAAAATTATCATTATAACGCGTCGTCAAGCACAGACGAAGATATTTTATATTAGTTGAATCATCATCTTCTTTCTTTAAAAAACTTAAACTAAATAATGTGGAGTCGCACAATCGAAGAGGATCTTCGATAATTTACAAGTTGATTGGCAAAACAATTATTTTAATTTATCATTAATATACCCAACATGCACTTTGCAAGTCAATGACAACGCATCTATAAATTCGTATGTACTTCTACTATTGTTATTCAAGGAACAAGCAACTCATCCAAAAATTCAGTATGGGTTCTTAAGCGGAATCTAAACTCCCTATAGTGGAATTCAATGAGAAAAATTTGATTCCCAGTACAGAATCCTGGGAATCAACTTCCCATTCAGTTCGTCATGCACCCGAAAAATATGGTTGTTTCATAGCACTGCACGAGAAAATCACTACTGAAATGCATGACGCAATGTTCAAATCTGCAATGCCATTATACGATGTTCCAACGGAAAGAAAACAGAAATTGGAATGTAATTTTCTTGGCTCTGGCTATGGTTCCAATTATCCCAGGATGCCTCTCGGTGAATTCTTTGGAATTGAAAATGGAACAAATATTGAAGGTACCAAAAACTTCGCCAGCCTCATGTGGCCGGAGGGAAATGATCAGTTCTAGTAATGTCAACTTGTTAGTGTATATTCTTATCTCTTATCTATTTTAATATGATCATAATTAATTTATTTTAACATCTGGATTTTCAGAAACTGTATGCGTGCATGAACTTTATTAAACAAACCATCTATTATATTGTTCTATCGATACCACATCATCATCTTGACGAGATATATTTAGTTCTATGTAAAACATGTTCCAAATTACTATGTTTTACTTTAATCTATTCTCATTTGGTGTCACTTCAACTTGTTCACCATATATTTCCATCTCTTATCTTATTATTTATTTATTATTTTGTTATATCGTATGACCATAAATCTGTTTTAACATCAAAATTTCCACTTTGTTCATCTTGTATGACATATCAAATTAATCATAAGCATAAGGGTAATGTATCCAAGCCAATTTAAAAGAGGAGGGCTACACTAGGTTGACATCCAGCATAAAACTTTGTCTATCCTTGAGATATTAAATCGAATACACGCATTGTTTTAATATATCCATGATATAAATTTATTATTCTTTTATCATCTGCAAGCATTTTGTCTAGTGCACTTGTGTTTGTTCTTTTGATTCTTCTTTTTATTCGTTTATCTTTTTATTATAATTTTTGTTCCTCTCCTCAGCGAAACTACAGCTTCATACTGTAAGCTCTTATCAGAATTGGAAGATGCCATTACGCGAATGGTGTTTAGTAGTTATGGCGTGGAGAAATACTTCGAGGCTTTCACTCAATCCTCATTTTACCTGACAAAATTCATGAAATATCGAGTCCCCAAGGAAAATGAGATCAATATGGGACTTGTACCTCTCATTGATAAAACATTTTTTGGCCTAATCGACACAAACACAAAAGGTCTAGAGATTGAAACAAGAGATGGTGAGTGGATTAATTTTGAGCCATCCCCTAACACTTTCCTAGTCATTGCAGGCGAGATATTCACTGTGAGTTGCAAATCTCTTCTCCTATTAACACTTTTCCCATTTTGGGTCCATTGCTGCTACAAGAAATTTCTCTTTTAAGGATTGAAAATTCTTTCTGACTACCCTTTATTGACAAAACAACTAGACAAGGACGATCTACAGCAATTGAGGAGTCATATGTGCAAACAAGCTTACACTTATAAATTGAAAAGTAATTACTGAATAACATAGTAAAATTGATACGACTGTTATGAATAATCTCATGTCAAAACATATGAGATTCTAGATAGAAAAATTCGCATAGTACCAGAAAACAATATTTCACTATTAAAAATATAAACTCTTTACCATAGTGGTCCATATGTATATTCACAATCCTAATAGTGGTCCATATGTCAAAGTAATAATTTAGATAATATTTAAACATAAAACTAAGATTTTTTCCTAGAAATCAAGCATGAGTTTCTCATAGAGTTTTGTTTTACATAAATTTAATATGGATTTTTTCATCGATATCCTTTATTGAAAGTGACTCCTTATGTTAAGGTTTGATGGCATGGATGGAGTCGTTAGGATGTGCAACCCTAAATTGCTTGTAATACTCCATAGTCCTGTTTCGATATGACTACCTAGTCTTATCTCATCAAATGGAGATACGTAACATCAAGAGGTTTAGGAACTCATATCAAGGGTTATTTGACAATGTTTTTACTAAAAGTTCTAGTAGATTTTCATAAAAGTTAATGAAATTAGCACTTGAAAAATTAATAAAAATTGTGAATTCTATGAATTGTGTGGTTCGAATTAATAAAAATTATTTTACTAACATTGAACCAAATTATTGATTCATTCGAAACTCGATTGATTTAACTTTAGCATTGGGCTCACTGATTTGTCGAATTAAGAACAGGACAACTAGGTAGCTCATATAAAGAAATTGACTCAGTAAGTATCACGGAAAACAATTATTTTGTCCAATTGCTGAATAATCATACCTTGATTTTTTATTTTTTTTATGTGCATCACCTTTTGATTTTTCACAAATGTATGATATTAAAAACATGTAATAAAATGAAGAGTAGGGGTCATTCCCACAAGGAATATTTACTCAATTTAGTGTCAGTTAATTGTTACTCTAAACGAATAGCCAAATATGTTTGAAGAATTTACACTAAATCAACTACTTAAACTAATTATTCTAGTGAGCAACTTATAAGTTTTTTTGTAAATATAGATTGGTTGTTACTAAGACCTAAAATTTCCCTTATTACTCTGTTTTAATGCAAACTAATATCATGATAATATGTACATATTCTTGTCGATCAATATTCCTAATTTAAATAAAAGTATCTCTCGATGTTAATTAAATCCATCATCTCATGACTTTTCTATATCTCTATGAAAGATGCGAATATGAATGCATGCATTAAAAATGTAGAACATCCATAGAAATCATGCAAATTATAACTGTATATCTCGATCCCCCATTGGACTTTATATTCGTTGCTACAATGTTATCTTGAAATCAATAAAAATCACAAAATATTCAATTAGAATCTAATTAATTGAAAAACAGTAAGTTTCATGACAATCATCCAAGAATAAACATATATTAAGCTTCAAATTGAAACACTAGCTTAGCATTACAAAATTTCAAGAAAACATGTTTGATTGGAAGAAAATAATTTGGATTATTAGTAAATTGAGAAGATGAAGATCAATTTTGAAATCTCGAAATATTTATTGATGAATCTCCTTGCACCTTCTCTTCTTTGTCCCTAAAATCAAGGTTGAATTTTCAATATGATGAAATCTTGAAATTTCTTTTAAATTTCTCATAAGATCAACAAATTTGCCTCTCTCTAAATGATTTAATTGATGAATAATGGTGTATGAAAGGTTTCTTCAATGGATGCCCATATCTATTTTTTTTTTTTTTATATAGAGGGTCAAATTTGGTCAAGAATTAGTTCCAAGTTAGGTTTCAAAAGAGTTTCAATCAAATAAGGAAAGTTATCTTTGGCATAATGTATAATTATGTCTTTGGTAGTTATCAGTATTTTTATTTTAACTTTATGTCCTGATATCTTATTGAGTCGATTCAAATTATGTTTGAAAGCTAACTGAAAGGGATACAATGTTTGTAGAAATAGCATTTTTTCAAATCGAATGTTTACTATATCGAAAATGGGTCTCAATCTCCATTATTAAATCTGGATAAGTAAAAATACGTTGATTATATTTCAATGCTACACTCCTTTAACTTCTAATTATATCTAATTGATTCCTTATGACCTTCAATCAATGACTTGTGGTCCGAATCAGTTGAATATTTACATTTTAATCACTGAACTTTTGATTCTTTCATTTTTAATTGATTTGTGCTCTTTTCTTCTAATTTCACTTTGAACCATTGAGTTTCATATAACAAATGAAATATACAAGAAGTTAGGCTATAATAAATCATAAAAAGTCCTAAGTATCTATATTTAAGTGTATAAAATATACTTATCAAACACCCCCAAATTTAAACATTTGTTTGTTCTCAAGTAAAACCATAATATAACTTTAACACATACAATAAAGTTTTGGCTAGATAACCTACTGTTTGTCTCATGATTGGAATCATCGTATTAAATTCATAAAAAACTTCAAGGTCACAATACTAAGATCAATATCAACTTCTCCAATGCAACTAATATATATGTGAAGAATCAAGTAAAATATTATAAATTCAATAGTTGTTTCAATTACCGACCCTTAGTGGTCAAATTTATCCTTTCATTACTTGTAAAATTACACATCTAAAAACTTATTCTTTTTACTCTTCTTCTATTGCATTATCCAAGGTTGAATTTTATACATATTCTCTACTTTAGAAGAATTTCATTAATTGTAAGTTAATAATTCGACAAATAAGGGTTCCTCAAATTTTTGATAGCTTCAACCACCAAAACTCAACTAAACTAGTAATCTCTTGTTAAAGATTTAATTCTCTCCAATAAGTGATTGGGGTTTAATCAAGTCATGTTGTGTGCTTATTATTTTTTTATGTATGAAATTCTATCCATTAAGTTTTCTCAATGACCCTTGTAGGGAGCTTTTAGCCATTAACTCCTAAGTCAAAATGATCACAGGGCACTAAGTTTTAGGTACCCTTGTAGACTTAATCACTCGGTCATGAAGACTATGAAGAGATGTTTCAACATCTTCTTCTTTTTTTCCTTTTCCTTTTTCCTTTTTCCTTTTTTTTCATGATTAGTGCAATGTCCCTCATTAAACACTCATTTTCAAAAACCAACCCCCAACTTAAAATTTTCATCCCATTTTCATTTTATTGATCTTATATGGAATTCTCATTTGAATCAATATCTTCTTACAACTGTTCAATCACCAGTCACCTTCAAAATGTGCTAAATTTGGTTTAAGGATATATATTATAGTAATTTTGGGGTTTAGCATCTAAATTCGACTATTTCAACCTATTAAGTATATGAATCAATGCATTACTTCACAATACTAAATTTAATTTATGTGCGCAAAAAAATCAAGTTTTACATAGATAAAAATCAATTAATCTAAGCAGGTAAATATTTACAATTCGTAAATAAACATATACTTTTAAATATATTCATCATTGCTGACTAGCTATAGAGCACACACAAACAAACAAATTAAAAACAAATGTTTTTGAAATTTTTGGATTTTTTTACTTTTTCTATTTTTTTTCATATATAATAAAGCAGTAAAAATATACAATCACACAAGAGATAATAGAGCTCAAAACTCAAAAAAATAAAAATAAAAATAAAAATAAATCCACAAACTTGAAGTAGACATTGTTATCAATGTCTTAAAGTGTAATCCAATACAATAAACAAAGAAGGTATTCTTTGAATTTTTGTATGATATTTGGGGTAGCTTGGTAAATTAGTTCATTCCATTCTTCTGTTTGTTAAGCTTCCCCTTGATTGATATCCCTGTACCTTATGGAAGAAAATATCAAGATTACAGTCAAGAAACAGTTTAAATGTTGCGTTGTGATTTGTGTGCTAACTAGTGTTTTCAACACTAGAGCATTAAAAATCATGCCACATGTTGTTTTTACTGAAGTAATTTTTTTTCTTTATCTATGATTGATTTTGATGGGATGACCATTTTATTGAAACTAAAATATTTCTAAAACTAAAGCACCATAACTAACTATATGCAATGCAACTATATAAAACATAATAAATGAAAGGATAAGAAATTGGGTTGCCTCCCAATAAGTACTTATTCTAAAGTCTTTAGTTAGACTTTGTGGAGGAGTCGATCAAGGTGATTCAAGTCGAATTTTTTCGGCCTTGCATTCTTTACAATTCCTAACCTTGCACCCTATTTTTGCTCTCCAAATCTTAAACTCTCTGTTTTTATCTCAATAAAAAATTCCATCAATTTTAGGTTTTTTCTTTGAAAACTTTGGACAACATCTTCATCAATACATTTGTACTCCTCGAAGTCTGATGGTTGTTTGGGTGGATCGTATAATTTGAAAATTTCTTGTTCATCCTCCACCCTCAAGGTCAACTCAGCTTTCTCCATATCAATCAAGGTTCGTCTGGTCGATGGGATGGGTCAATCCAAGATTATTGAAATACTGTGATATTATTTTATGTTAAGAATAATCAGCCTGTCAGGAATATCGGTTTTTCAGTTTTAATGAGTACATCATCAATATTGCCTCTAGGATATTTGATGCATCTATTAGCCAACTGTAGTGACACCATTGTTTCCTTTGCTTCTCAAAGTCCAAATTTTCTATATATAGATAAAGTCATTAAATTGACGCTTGCACATGTATCACATAAAGTATTAAAAGAAAAAATTTTGCCAGTGAAATAGGTAAAGTAAAACTCGCTGGATCTTTAAGTTTTGGAGGTAGATTATATTGCAGTCTTGCACTGCTCTCTTTAGTTAACGCCACTTCCTCAAATTTTGGAAGCTTTCTTTTCTTTGTATCATGTATTTTAAGAATCTTGTATAGTTTAGAATGTGTCTAATTACATCGATGAATAGTATATTGATATGAAGCTTGCTTAAAACATCCAAAAATTTCTCAAAATTGTTCTTCAAGCTTCCTTTTCTGCAATCTCTAAGTAAAGGAGACATGAGGCACATATATCTCGATAGGAATGGTTGCCTTAACTAGTGGATTATTCAACTTCTGATCTAAAACTATTGTTGCTAATTATTCAGATTTATCCACTTGCTCCTCATCTATGGGATGTACATTTTTATTTAATACTATCTGTCTCTTAACTATAACTTCTGGAAGTTGAACCCCAATCTACATTGTAATTTCATGAACTGGAATTAGTGCTTTCATAGGTGAATACCCGATTATTTCATTCTTCACAATATTACTTGCTGTTTGGAATATCTTTGACTATCTTTCTGAAATTGCATTAGCAATTTTTCCCAATTGATTTTTCAAGTTCTATATAGTTGTCCCTTGACCAAGAAATTTTTTTCAGTCTGCTGGATAAATTCAATTGAAGTTTCATCCATCTTGGTAAATTCTTCTTCTCATGACTTTTTTTCTGACTGTTGAAAACTGGTGGTACATTTTGATACGGTATATCTTGAGAAGATTAATTATTATTGCAAGAGAAATTGGGATGATTTCTCAAGACATGATTGTATCTATTGGAATGTGGATTATTCTGTTGCCTCGGGTGATTCTGCATATAATTTACTTCTTCATCTGATTTAGCAAACAAACTTCTCAATTACAATCCACACTTTAAATGATTCCATTCGCAATGGTTGTATCTCAGCCCAGCTGTTTGAACTGCATTTAATGTCTAATTGGTTGCCAAAACATCTATCTTTTTAGCTAGTTTTATTAGTTGGGCTAAAATAGTTGTTACTATGCCAACCTTGTGCATCCTAGCAACATTTTTTCTACCTAATCTTTCTGTTGGCCATAGTACACTGGTGTATGCTAGATTCTCCATGATTTGATAAAACTGATCAACTATCTCTTTGTAATTGACCCATCACAAGTGGAATCAACATTAGCCCTACTAGTCAAATTTAGCCCAATGTAGAAGTACTAAACTTATAGCCACTTCTGCAAATCATATTGTGGATATTGTCAAAGCAAACCTATGTATCTTTCTGATGCCTAGTAATAGCATTTCTAATCAAGTTGAGAGATTGTAGTGTTTCATCCCTCAACTTTACAATCCTTTTTGGTGGGAAGTATTTGCTTAATAATTTTGGGCTTAGACTGTCCTGAGTAGTGACGCTGTAAGGTGGGAATGTATCCAAACAATCCTTATTTGAATATCTCAAAAAGTACAAAAAGAGCCTCCGTTGAATTGCATCATTGAAACCCTAGATATTCTATCATCGTACATATACTGAAAAATCTCGAGATATTAGCATTTGGATTGTCAGCTAGTCTCCCAAAGAGCAGTAATGCATCCTAGAACATGTTAATTATCGATAAGTATATTTTGTACACTTATTTGGAGCAAAAAATAGCGATATTTGATAGTTTTTTTGACGAAATATATTCTAAATTATTGTATTTTATGTTAAACTGGTAAAGTTCAATGGTTAGTGAAGAAATTAAAAGAAACAAAAGGAAAACCCACATAAGAGTGAAATCCAAAAGACAGGGGGACCAAGTTATAAATAATCCATAGATGGGACGGACGATGAAATGAAGATTGAAGATGACAAGGATTTAATGGTATACAATGAGAAGATAAATGAATAAGATTACAAAAAAAAAAAAAAAAATGGGGCTGAAATGATGTAAAATCAAAGTTTGAGGACTAAAGTGCAAATAATGAACACTTTTTTTGAACCTTATGATGAAGATTCTAGAGTTTTGGGGGTCAATCATATGAGAAAAGAAGTCAACAGGATGAAATATAGTTGAAGTATTATCATATATCAAGTTTTAGGCAAAAAAGTTATGCTTCAAATTTTTAGTTTCTATTTGAAACCCATTTTTGGCACATCAAACATCTAAATTGGAAACATTCTACTACAAGAAAATTTTTAGGCCTTTGAGTTAGGTTTCCAATGCACTTTGAATCAGTTCAATCGAATATCAAGAGAGAAAGATATGACAAATTATCTAAAGCTGCCTGACGGAAAGGAAATTGAACTATGTTATCGCATAGTTCAAAATCCTATGTGCTCGCATCCTACCATGCTGAGAAAAACTTGAAGTTCAGCAAGTGAACTATTTGGCAGCATCCAAATGTACTATGAGATCACATAGTACAAGATTTTGGCTAAATCTCAAGGTTTTGAGCGACATCTTTGACTTAGATACGAGCCATATATATATCAGAACGTTCCATACTCATAAAGAGTATCTTTTATGCAACAAACAACTCAAAAACTTGAGAGAAATATATTGGAAAGGAGAACAAATTTATCTTTGTGAGAGATTTCAGCAAAGGAATTTCAAGAAAACTATTTAGCATAATTCACTCTAGGAAGAGTGCATAAGGATTGGAAAAAAACTTCAAGAGATATCAAGATTTCATCAAAGTCATTTAAGAATTCAAGATTTCTCATCAATTATTTAAGTTCTGGGTGATATCTATTAACTTTAGAATGTGTTCTTTTAATTTTGTAATGCTTGGCTTAGATTTTAACATTGTTAGGATGAGATGAACCCTTGTTATAAGATTTTTGGCATTAATTTATTATTTTGACTTATAATATGTATGTTTTCCTGGATATTTATTATTTTGTTTTCACGGACTTCTCAATTAATTAGCTACTAATTGAGATAATTTATTGGAATCTATTTCTATTAAGAGAGATAATAGGTTTTTAGCTAAAAATAATAAATATTGTAAAGTTCGATAGAGGATAAAGATATACATTTATGCTTTACAAGATTTTCATATGCGTTCTATATCGTTTAATGCATTTATCATATTCGTATCTTTCATCAAGAGATAAGAAGGTCATGTGAGGGTAATAGATTTGATAACCATAGAGAGATTTTCAATTAAGTTAGGAACATTGATCAACAAGAATGACTATACATTGTCATCTTAATTTGTTATGCTAAAAATGGATTAGCATGGAGGATTTTACATCTTAGCAGTACCTCTCACGAATTTGATAAAACTTTGCTTTACTTTCATCGTAGTTGATAAATTAGACTTTGATTTGCTACAACTTTACATTGCTATTCGATTAAGTTTATTAATAGCTATAACTCGATCAAATATTTAGTCCTCGTGGGTTCAACACTCTTTACACTATTATATTATTTGTTCACGATCTTGTCCACTTGTGGGAAATCAAACGATCAATTACATCTGTCCTCAAGTAAAATTAGCTTGCCTGAATACCGGTTATATTTTATACCACGAGTAGAACCATGTATTCTCATACCACTATCTCGTTTTCATTATCCGCAATTACAACCTAATGTATTACATTTCCATTCAACTCAAAGACCACATGATTTTGTATTTTTTTTTTTCCCATAAATTCTATTTGAAATTTTTGGTGCACTTCTAACTGTTATTTTCTTCTCAACGTGAATGTTCATTCCA